GACAATGTTCCATTGGTGATACAGTTTGGACTCGAAGTTATGGTTATGGTAGTCTTGGGTTAAGGGAAAAATAGAATCTAAGTCGGGTCCTGTATCTTACACAGTGAAATTGTCTGATGGTCGATGGGTTCGTCGCCATATTGATCATATTGGTTCTAAACATTTTGAGTCAACTTCAATTGAATTATCAAATACTAATAGTTCAAATCCTGTACAATCAGTGGAAGATCTTAAAGTTTCACCGAGTGATATTACTAGTACAAGTGCTATTTCTACTAGTCATAAACCTGTTATTGAAAACAATACTGTAGAAAACTCTAATCCTGTTTCTGTACATGTTACACCCAGTAGTGAAAGGGGTAACGTTGAGAAAGATAGTATTGCAGTGAGTAGACCAAGAAGAGAGATAAAAATACCAGAAAGATTTAAAGATTTTGTATTGACAGATACTAAAAGTAGTTGCATTTAAAGAAATGTTAATGTACTTGTTTTGTATGTGCTTGTTATACATACAGTCTTGTTAAAATTTAGCGTTAAGCATTTACTTCTGTATGGTGTTATAAAAATTAGTTTTGTGAAACAAAATGTAATTTTTAGCTTAAGGGTAGAGGAATGTAGTATATTGGTCTTATTAGCATATTTCCCGCGCTTGTAGTTCACACATGCGCATTGTACCTGTCGGTTGGTGAAGCCATGTTTTGAATAAAGTAAAGTCTATCGATTGTTCCTGCAAACTTTGGTTTGTTTCATCTCTGCCTTACCACAGGCCACGACAATATGTACATCAAAAATGCTCTTATCATGCTTGTGATGTTGCTATTGTAGGTAAATGGCCACATCAGGAATGTACATAACTGTCATTTATTAGGCAGAAACTGATAGGAGCCAATTCCTTGTGCTGATGTCTACATACACATGTATATCAGTGAAAGTTTTGCTGTCACCAGCTGCCATTCTTGAAATGGTGCCATCGATAAACAGTTCATGCCACTCACCTCAACCTTAAACAATGACATGTGTTGTCATTTGTTAATAAGGCCAAATTTTATTTTTA